AATGTTAATTGAAAATTCTGGAATTACGAGGCCCCACGTAGCGTGTATATAGCAGCAATCTTATTCAAATATTACTCTCCTTTTTCCGCCTACAGTACGAGTGCAAAGTGCAGAATCTGAAGAAGCGAAAAGTCACCATCCACATATCGGTAAATGGCGTACGCGTTGTGCTCAAAAAGCGTCGTCGAAAAGTAAGTCAATGTCTGCCTTTTTTTATCTCAACTAATTTGTATATTTACTTGTTGCTTAGAAAAAGAACTGGACCAATGAACCCGAGGAAATCGAGTTGCTCAATCATCCCATCTATAGAATATTCTACGTGTCCCACGACAGCAGCGATCTCAAGATATTCAGCTATATAGCGCGCGATGCCAGCACGGATACGTTCAAGTGTTCCGTCTTCAAAAGTCACAAAAAGGTGAGATTCGATGTTTGTTTATGGCCTTTACTTTTACTTCGACCCACTGAAATGTTTATGACCGCAATTCTCATAATGCAGGCTACATGTGACTTACTTGACATTTCCCATTTTCGGTGCACACCGCACTGCCACCCATGGAATCTCTAAAAATAAGAGCACTGGTCTTGTGCAAAATGTCTACACGTATGCATAATTTTGGCTAGTATCCAGCATTGGAAAACCAAACCGAAAACAACTAGCGAATAAACACAAAAAAAAGTGTGTGCGCTATGAAGAGCGAAGTGCAATTTATTAGATGTGCCATAATTGCGATCTATTTGATCTAGTTTTCATTAATTCGTGGAGACCTGAAATGGTTGTAATTGGGTTTGAAATAGCAGCAATGGAATGACAAGCAGTTCGTTAAAATATTATAAATCTATTACACTTTTTACACTTCTGGACTTAAGAATTTACGAACAAAATTCCTTTAGAACTTTCTTTTAAAATAACCTACGTTTGCTTTAGTTTGAGCTGACTCACTTTCCCTGTTAGTTTTCCCACTCGGTTTCTATTTATTGAACCAATGATTCCATGGTTGTTTTTCATTGTCAATCTGGTCGAGTCTAGACCGATTTTTCATTGCCCATTACAGCGCACTGGGATCTAAACAAACCCGGCGAAAAGTAAGGCGCAACTGTCCATCAGTCGGAGCAGCCAGCCGGCGCGTCCATTTCCGTGTTATATGGCCAGTGGATCGGCATAGATTCTGCCGTTTGCGAGGCGACATCGCCCCCCATTAGGCTTTGGCCGAGATTTGCCAAATAAATAAATCAGATTTAGCTTTGTGGTCGTTTGCCTGGGGGAAATGCATTTGCTTTGATTTCGGACCGAATGCGGTTTTTGATTAATTCCAAGTCAGATATGTTCCAAATTTATTTTCGAGGAGCCCGAACCACGCAATTTTCTTGGTATAATCGGATGGCCTTCAACTTCAGTCTGTAGACAATGTCAAGTTGGCATTTCTATTTTTTCTTTTCTAATTAACAAGCGGGCTTCTGGGGAAAAAATTCCAACACATCAGAGGGCAGTCGGTGTTTTTGGCTGTCGAAATGGCTGACAAGTGACACGAGAAATGGGTGGATGGGGGGGTGTAGAGGGCATTATCATCCACACGTCGGCTGCACGTGCTGAAAATCGCCCATACGCCATGTGCGTCAGAAGAAAGCTCCGTTGCACCTGAGGCATAAGATTTGAACGGATCATCCAGGCATTTGTTATACAAGTATCTGCCAAATGGAACGCAATTTGGTAGCTGAATGAACACAAACACGGCCCGACAAAGCGATGAAAAGTGTATGATTAATGGCTAAGCAGGAGCAAAGACTGCGGAAAATGGCCGAAAGAAGCGAAGCGCCTCTTTGTTTACTTCCGCGAAACACAAAGCAATGACGTCACATGGCTAGCTGCAATCGCACATACGCCGCGTTGTACCGGCCTCAGGGGGTTTCGTTGATCGTTTCGATATATGGCTTCGTTGGAACAGCAAGACAAAACCGAAACCAAAACAAACGCAGCATGTAGCCAACGATCGTGCCAACAGCTGAGCGGAAAAGCTCTGGGAAAAGCTTTTCCATTTAGCCGGCTACGAGAAGATCCATCGATCTTCGATCTTCTCTCTCATTTCGGTCTTTGTCCAGTGTGTTCTAGACGGCGCGCCTTTGCAGACGTGCGGCGATTCAAAAACATCGTTTGATCACAGACCAACTATCTTAAATTATGCAATAAGTGCGTGAATGTCAGTGAAGTGAAATGTGTATAAAAAGAATAACAAAAAACGAATTAATATTTTCAAACCGATATTTCTGCCACCTGCAAAACATCTCCTTGAATAAATAAAAAAACTCAACATCATCCGATACAAGCGAAATAAATTTAGCAGTGGCATGTCACTGCTTTAAGGAAAATATTTTAACGCACCCATTGATCATCAGTCCCAGCGAGCCGTAAAATTAAATATTTCAAAATGTGAAAGAAAAAATTCAAGTCACAGAAGTGTTTTGTCATTGGTTTTTTCTACCATTCGGACTGCTGACGCCATTAAATGCTCGTGGCTGGCAAAAAGAACACAAAATTAATACTTTAAAACAATGCTAAGGATTGAATAATGAGCCACGAGAGCAGAAAATTGACTGGAAAATTAATTACCAGAGAAAAGCCGCCGCACAAGCCACTTGAAAAAAGTTTGCAAAGTGCGGACAGTAATACGACTTAACTAAAACCAAAAGTAGAGTGTACCATTAAGTGAAATTAAATTTCTGTGTTGGCTTAGGGCAAAGTAAATTCATTCATGCATATCCCAACTTAGCTCAATGACGTATATTTTTCAAAATTTTACTGTTTATCCGTATTAGTTGTTAATGAGCGCCGCAGGTAGTCCACGGAAATGATTAGACTCGTATAAATAAATCGAATTATGGTCAATAACGCACACGTGATATTATGGTTGAAATATTTACGATTCTTTTCTACCAAGCTTATTTATTTATGTACATCTATATTTCGTATTGGTATAATAAACAAAATAAGGCTAATTTGACAGCTGAAAATCCCAAATAAACATAGTGTATAGGTACAAATATTTTCATGAACATAACTTTGTTCTCAAGTTGTTCAAAAAGTTCATAGAAAATGGGAAAATATTTCTAATTTACCTGTTGTCTGTGGAATTGGCAAAGCCCAATGCCTCGGGGAAAACCGCAACGCGCCTTGTTCTTTTACCCCTCCCAGCTATTTTCATATTCCCAAAAATGGCTACTCTTGTTCGCATTCGCATTCGTTTCGCTTTGTTTTGCTTCGTTTGTGTTTTATTTTTCTGGATTTCAAGCCAAAATAGATCCATTATTTTAATAGCCTACTTTAAAGTATTTCTAAAATCGAACAACGAACGCTAGAGACTGGGGGGAAAGACACAGGTAGTGCGGTCAGGTGTTTCGCTTTGTTCGAGAGGCGAATTATAAATACTCAAGTTTATATACTTTGCGTATTTTCGGTTATACTGTCGATGTGTTCTCTGGTGAAATTGTAAATTGAATTCTCAAGTGCCGCAGCCTGCATGACTAATGAGAACTTCATTAGCACAGGCAACACCCATCCCGACCACGTGACAATGTGCAGAATTTACGAGCTGCAGTTTTCCATGTGGTAAGCTGTGGTAAACTGTGGTAAACTGCTGCTGCGGAAGTGGCATCTGCGGTGGCCTGCAACTGCTGCTATGGCATCGTGACCACCACCGACAACTTATTGCCACAGTAAACACCGGCCAGATGGAGGCAGAAACAGAAGCCGAAGCAGGGGCAACGGCAATGGCAATGGCAATGGCAATGCCATTAAAACGGTGCTAAAAAGCCAGACCAGACACAAAGATTTTGTGTAAAAATTTTCCCTTATGACAGACGGTGCGGGCAAAACAAACAAACTGACGAATTTGATTGCTGTGCAGAGTAAAATGGAAATTGAAATTCAAATAAATACCTAAAACAAAGCCAACAAAGTCGTTCTTAACGCCATAAATTTTCAAGTAGTTTTCCACGAAATGCCACGCAGTTTTCCTCTCTCTCTCATTCTTATTTATTTAAGTTTTCATTTTGGCTTTGTTGTAACGAATGTAAATTGCCACACACTTTATCCGTTTACTTTTTATAGTTTTCAATTTGATTTATGCGAAATTGCACAAGCCACACGAGGGAGATATATGTGCAGACTCGGTGCGGATAGACAATCAGTTGGCACCTTCGTTAAGACGGATTTTCCTGGCACACGCGGCGTATGCGCAATGCTGGAACGTTAAACTGGCTGATAAAGCAGCAAAGTGAGACGACTTGACGCCTCTTGTAAATTCACCTTGAAAGAACTGTTAAATGGCCGAGTTAGTCTGACGTCCCAGAATACTCAAATATTGAACATGTTGTAAGCATGCTTCGCTTCACTCTCCGTTTTGTTTGCCAATTTGCGCAACAAGTGCTGTCATTGCTTGTCAAAATAATTCAAATTGATGTGTTGTTAATGTCGTTCAGGCGAGTACTCAAGCTGCCGCCACTGAAGTAGCCCTTCAAAGTGCTTGAGTGCTGGCCAAGTTCTGCTCGAGAATCTGCTGAAAGGGGCAACCACAAAGTTATTCGGTCGGCAGCTTGGGCTTAATTAGTAATGGAAAGGTGTTCAGCAAATTTGTGACTGATGATTGAGCTTTTACCATTTTTTTCCATTTTGCATATTAAATTGGCTATCCAAAAAAATTATGGGCTGCTAGGAACCTTAATGCTTTGGCAGAGGTCAATATTATTTTTCATATCCCTTTAATATTTGATTAATATATATATTTGAGGACTTTGCAGTTCTTAACAATTGTTTACTTATTTTAATTGTAATTCATAAAAGGTTCCTAATAAAACCTTCTGAGTATGCTTAACAAATTTTTAACTTTAATAACTATGCTTACTGAGGGCTGAGTATTTATAATGTTTATTTTAATAACATCAAAATTAATTTGGGTCAACGGGAACTTTTATGAATAAAATAGGAGTTCATTATTCCTACAGAAATATTTATAAATCATATACCTTCAAAATTTCGATGCAACTAGGACTCTGAATCATTGACAGAAAACCGATGCAAATCATTCGCCTGCTGATTGACATAAATTTGGCTAACCATAGCAAAACCCACATCATATTGACAGCATTATTTTTTTTTTTGTTGGAAGGGATGGCCTGAAAACAAGAAATCTCTGGCATGCAGGCGGCAGAAATATTCGGAAAATAACAAGAAAATATTTTCTCTCCGATATGTAGGCAACATGAAAAGTTGCAAATAATTTAATACACAAATAAATGAACACGCAAAAGCAACAGCATCAAAAACAACAGCCTAGGGGCGAAAGTGAAGCATAAACAATTTATAGCACCTCGCAGGTGTGAAAAGTGAACAATGGCGCATCGGCGGTGTGTGAACAACCTGGATCAAGGGAGCGACCCACAGAACCCTAAGCAATTATGAAATTAATAGCCAACTAATTGACCGATTGAAAAGCGAGCGAAAACAGCTCTGAACAGCATTGAACTTAGTGAGCAGAGTGAGCAGAGTGAGCAGCGTGATCAGAGTGACAAATTGGCGAGCTAACGACCTTGCGGATCGCGGATCACCGAACTCTCTTCAGCCAGCTGTTGTGGCCATGAAGCACGAGAAGACCCTCGCCATGGCTGCTCCGCAAAAGCACAGCTCCGCCCACGTTCCCCGCAGTCCCATCACCAAGGCCTTTGACTTTCTGCCCTGGTCGCGGAGTCGCAGCAAGGTCAACATGGCCAAGGCCCAGCCCCAGCAGTCGGACCAGCAGGCGGACCAGCAGGCGGCCTCTGTTTCAGTGCCTGCCGCTGCCGAGAAGCCCTCGGAGGTGCACTATCACAAGAACATCTTTCGCAGCGGTGGTGGCCTCATCCGGGACATCCTGGTGGGCGACAAGCAACTTCAGCTGAAGGACAAGCCGCCACAATCCCCGGTTCCCGCGCATAAAAAGAAACAGAAGCACTTGTCGCGAAACAAGAGTTTGGATATCCGGGAACTCATAGGTTGTGTGGAGCGCGAAATGGCTCCGGTGATGGGAGGTCAACCAGCTCGTTTCATGGACGACACCTACATAGACCACAAGCCCAAGCATATACTCTTCAATGACGACGAGAATACGGTGTATATCATTAAGAAGGAACAGCCGGTGGCCAAGTCGAGCCATAAGGCTAGTAACCCATCTTCGTCCACTGCCCCGGCCAATGGAGACGTGCTTAAGGCCCGCCTGAAGTTCAAGCGGCTACCGGGGGATCACTACGAGGCCTCGCCGGAGGCCCTGCGACGGGCACATCTCCTGCACCAGCGATCCGAGCAGCGGCATCAGTTGCAGCGGCGCAAGAGTCTCAGCGACCAGCAGAGCAGCTCCAGCCTGAGCAGTGGCGGTGGCGGCAACGGAGGGGGAGGGGGTGGCAGCGGCAACGGAAGCATTATGCTGGAGCGACCCAAGACGGACAAGCCGCGCAAGAAGCTGTCCTTCCGGGAGCCCATCATAGCCGGTGACCAGATGCTGCCGCTCATCCTCACCGAACAGCGGCAGGCGAGACAGAGGCGTCGCAGCTCCCCACTGGAGCGAAGCAGGGGGGGCGGCTTGGCGGGTGCGAGTGCGGGGGCGGACTGTGATAATTTATGCAATGGCCGCACAAAGGATACAATTTCCTGCGGCTGTGCGACGAGCGATCCGGAGGTGGGTTCAATGCGACCATGGGGCGTATGCGTAATGCGCACTGTGGCGGCTTAATTGCTGTCAATGGGATTGGTATTGGGGCAAATGTCTTAATGGGAAACGCTGTTGCGGTTGCCATAATACAATTAAATTAATCCCCCTTCCCTTTCCTTCTCTGTTTTGCAGTCTCAGGCCATGCGCATCGTTCGCACCGTGGGACAAGCCTTTGAAGTGTGCCACAAATTTAATCTTCATAAGAATTCCCTGGAACCCAATGACGAACGCTCCGACATCTCCTCCTCGGAGCTGCTGGACGTGGAGCAGATCAGCGAGCAGCAGCTCAGTGAGGACGGCGAACGCGGTGGCGACAACGACACGCCCAAGAAAGGTGAGTGTGGGGAAAATAATTCAGGGAAACGGATGGCTGAAAGTGGTTCGTTGACTGGCCAATAAATAAATGAAAAGCTCTGGCTGTCAACGCAGTCGCTCGCTTCCCGGGTGAATCTCTGGAGTCTGGACGCTGGTCGCATTAGTTTCCTATTCATTTTTGCATTTCCATGCAAATGTCTGCTCTTTAATTTCGCATTCAGTTCGATGCGGCGAGCCAGGCATTTGCATTTAAATTGCATTTCATTTCCCAGGGAGGTTGTACTGGGAAAGGGTCCTCCATTTAAGGTAAAGTCTTCAAAATAACCAAAAGTTAAATTATCAACAACACGTTTCATTTAGGGCAGAAATCAAAAGAACTATATTAAGTTGTAGTTTATTATTTCGAAATGAGGGTGCATTTTGGCTCTCACATTATCTTGTTTGTTTTGTTTAACATTTCCCAGTGTTTTCTTTCCTTTATTTCCGTAAATATACAAACTGCAACTGCAGACATAACACATATACTTATACTGTGTACATTCAAGTATACACACTGAACAGGCAATTTGCAATACCCCCTGCTAAAGTAAAAAGTACAATATAAAAGATGACTGCGCATATGAGGAGAACATATTAAAAATATAAAATAAAATACAAAAATAAAAGTGCCGAGAACAGAGGCAGCAGCTTTCGACATACACTTCGACGCTGTTAAGCAATTTCCACATATTGCTTCAATTTTCAATAATCTTCATGCGGTTTTCCATCTTGCCAACCCCCCTCCTCACCTCCAACCACCACCCCCCTCACACACTCTTACACAGGCAAGGCGTAGTTTGACGTCATCAACGCGTTGCTGCTGCCAAAAATAAGCTGAAAAAAAGAATAATATTGAAAACCTCACGGGGAAAGCAATTCTTTTTGCAATCTCTTGTCTAAAACCATCCAGCGACATCATTGGCAAGAAATTCTGAGAATATAAATATAAATAACGCCCAAGTGAAGCGCAAAAGAAAGGTGGGGTTGTAGCTACTTATCGGGGATGGATTACTTGCTGATACTTTCATCATAACCGTGGCATCACCGAGTCATTGGATTCGGGAAAACTGAAACCGAATTTGTTACCAGGCGACACTCGAGCCCATAAAACTCTCACGTGGTGGCCAAAAGTATGTGTGCCAAAAATAATTTATTTATTTCAACATCCCATCCTCACTCTCTGTAGTCATGTAATTTTTGCTATATAGTAATTTTTCCGTCGGCGATGGCTGACTTTTAAGTAGCCAAAAACAGCGAATCGGCACTGACATAATGAATTATGAACACGTGTGCTAGTCTCAGTCTGGATTTCTGCCATTTCGCTGAGATTCAAAAGATTAGTTTAGCCGGGTGCAAAGTTGAATACCCTAAGCCTAGACGACTAAAATTATGCCAAAAGTTGCGAGGGCCTATTTAGTCAGAAAAGAAAGACTTTTATATTTTTGCACAGATTTTTAATGTTAGAGAAACCTCACTTTTTGATTTAATACCTAAACTATAAAATGGCATAGGTTTTGGCACATTCAGAAAACAGAACATTTATTAAACTTGTGACATTGTAAAATTGTTTACCAAAAGGAACTATTTTGTTTTGACTTTAATAGCTTTCACAAAGTTTAATACGTTTTGGTGTAGAATATACCCAAGCTTAATTAAGTAAATAAATAAATACTATTACCGTGCAAACAAGTAAAAATAAAATTACAAAATTGTTTATTGGCTTTGGCCTGCCGCGACCACTGGTCTTTTGTGTAATAAGCACGCCATTACGTTAATCAACACATCATTTATTGTCTTTGGCTGGGCTATTTTTCAAATATATCGAAATCAGAGTATAATATAGATTGGCTATAAGTAAAATCTGAACATTTGGCTTACTAATTGTTGTTCCATGTCACAGAGTCGCTTTGCAGCTGTTTGGTCGGGCATTTTCGAACTGCTCGCTAATTGATTATGATGTATTCCTCGAAATGGGTCATTTCAACTGTAAAAATTCATCAAAATATTGTGGCTAAATTTAAAACAAGAAACATGTGTTTGCCAGGGGTCGGAATCCTTCTTCTATTTTGCAGGGAATGTGCTAGCGAATTCCACTAATTACTTGCCAAAATGTTCGGCGTTGAAAACCATCTGAAACGGCAAATTAATTTACATGCTGTGAAGGATTTTTACAACGCTTGTAGCAATTCATCGCCAATTAACACGTGCCCCGGGTGCTAAACGAAAAACCCGTATACCTTTATATATTCGTATATATAAGATGCTCGATGCCCGATCCCCGAGTTCTTGGAAGAAATTTCTTAAATATTTTCCAACTAATCAAATCGAAATGGCAGCCGAAAACAGCAGTGAACTTCGCTCGCAGCATCCTCATTATCCATTATCATCATGTTTTTAGCGATCGCGCGAGGCTCTAGATAATTGTTTCATTATTTATTGGACAGACGGCATAATCAAAACAAATATTGAACTCTAGACGCTGTAATTAATGGGAAATTAAGCGCGAAAGTGGCCGCCAAAACAGATCGTGGGGCACTAGACCACCAGGTGCGCTGCGTGGGTGTCCCGCGACCTTGACAAATTGGAGGGCGAACCGACCGGGCCTTACACGGCCCACTTGTTTACCCAGCCAGCCGGTCAGCCACTCAATTTGCAAACTTCGACTATTTCTTTACTATTTTTAGAGCACTTGGCCATAACGCCCGATCTGAGCCACACGCAGCCGCAGCGCCCCAACCACTTGGAGCTGATGCCATCGCATTCGAGTCTACGCAAGTCGAACAGCCTGCTGGTGAGTAACTTATGTCCATCATAATCATTTCGCCCAATGGCCCGCTAATAATAACCGAAATCACAGCCATATCCTGGCAGGGCAATTAAAATGCCGCCGCTGGCGAATTTTAATGAGCCGAAATCTCTGAAATGAAATCAAATACAATGTGGCCCATTGCTGGCGTTTCTGTTTAGGTCATAATGTATAAAATAATATTTCCCATTTGTTTACCTAACAACGCGGTCAGGAGAGGGTAAACAAGTATAAAAAAAAAACAATAATATTTCAGATTCAATAAATTTTCTTTGTACCTGAGGACTGTCAAGGCTAAAAGGTGAATAAAACAAAGGAAGCTCGCTTGGAAAAGGGAAAAAAGTCTAGTTTCAAATTAAATTAGGTCAATTTAATAGCCTTTTTTCAATAAAACATTCTCATGTTTTTTTTTATGGGAAAAGCACGGGACAAATATAAATTTTTATTGGTAACAAAAATGGGACAGTTTAATGTGACTATTAATCGAAAGTTCAGGCTAATAAATATTTTTCAAAAACTGTCTGAAATAGACTAAAGTTTTCGTAGGATGTGTACAAATGTATTATAATTTGAAAAACACATTTTCTTTGACTTAGTTCTCCCAGATATATTAAAATTTCATTGAGTGCCTGATCGCACCTTCTAGACAATAAAAACAGTTTTTTTCATTATTATTTTGAGGTTGCAAGCTATGAAGTATACATTTAAAGCCTTCGGATTTTAAGAAAATAGGACTAAGTTAAATATAAATTTCATAATAACGAATAAATTTTCCATATGAATTGCTATGATTGTATCATTGATTGATGTATCAAAATTGTAAATTAAATTTTTTCTTCCAGTGTGATGTGGACGACAATCCAGGCTCACCCTCCTCGCCGCGTTCTGAGATCACCCAGCTGAAGGACCAGCTGGAGGCACAGGCTCTGCAAACGCGCCAGGCCCTTGGCCAACTGATGCTGGTGCGGGAGCAGCTCATCTCGGAGACCAATGCGCGCATCGAGGCGCAGGTGGGTGTCCGGAGGATAGCCATCTCTTAGCGAACCAGTTTTTGAACACACTTATATATTTTAGGCGCGCACCCAACAACTGCTGCAGCAGAACCGGGAGCTCCTCGAGCATCTGGCCTCCTTGGGGGCCTACAACGAGCAGCAGAGTGCCGGACTCACGTCGGCCAACATCGGAATGGCGCCGCAGGTGAGTGCCCACGGGCCCGTCTTCTACGCTCTATAAGCTTTTGAGTTATGCGATCGTAAATTTGCGCTGATTTTGCAGCCTAGCCAAGCTGTGCGTCCTTTTTGCATGTTACTTTTACTGTTTCTGTTTCTGTTTTTCTTGGCTGCCGTTTGTTTTTGCACGAGTGTTTTAATAGTTGCCCCATTTCGTTGTGCGTTGTGCGTTCTCGTTAATATTATTGTTGTTGATTGACTGAGAGTACTCCAAGTGCTTAATGCCCTGTGACCTTTCACCCCCCTCCCTACCTTCGTTCAGCAATCGCAGCTGCAACTGCTGCTGCAGGCCACCAGCAACAACAACAACCTGGCCACGATCAACCAGCAGATCAGCAATCTTGGGAATATTAATCAGCAGTTGACCTCGCTGAGTCACCAGTTGAGTGGTCTCAATCAGCAGAGCCAGCACCTCCAGAATTTGCAACAGCAGCAGCAACAGCAACAGCAGCAGCAGCAACCCACTCCGGCCACGCCCCCTCCCGTAGCGGGGGGCAGTAGTGCGTATCCCTCGATGAGCGCGCTGCAAAGTATCAGCAATCAGTTGCAGCAACAGCAGCAGCAGCAGCAACAACAGGATGCCTTGTCCAAGGACTTGTTCCAGGTGAATCAGGAGCTGCTGAACCGGCTGCAGGCACTCAACTTGAATGCCAATCCTGGCCAGGGACAGCAAACACCCTCTGCCTCGCCTCACAACTCCTTCTTCTATGTGAATCCCCTGTCCTGCACACCGGCCACGCCCAATAACAATGCTGGCGGCGCTGGAGGTTTCAACTTCCTCACCTCACCGGCAGCCACGGGAACGCTGACGCCCTCACCGCTGGCCACCATGAATCGCAACTCTTTTGCCGGAAGTTCGTCGTTGAACGAAGACATACGCCTGAGCATCGAGCAGAACCTGAACAACCTGGAGGAGCAACTGAAGGCAGCCGTCTCGAATGGCAACTTGGCTGGCCTGGCCTGCGGTGGATCCACCAGCACCAGGGACACCAGTCGCAGCTCCTCCACCCTGGACTCGCCCTCCTCACCCCGCTTGAGGAGCAGCAACAACAACATAAGTCCTGGCAGCAGCAATAGCCATCAGGGCCACAACAACAATAGCAACAGCAACAGCAACACCAACAGCAGCAGCAGCAGGGAGACACGCTTCAATACGGTTTTGTTGAGGGTGACCGACGAGGCGGGTCACCAGAGGAAGCTGTCGGCCACGCCCAGTTTCATCACGCGCAGCACCAGCGAAAAGGTGCCCAATCGCAGCCAGATGATGAGCCAGGTGCAGAGGACCACCTGGGCCAGGCACACTACCAAATGAGAGGAGTTGGACCAGGTCATAGGTTAAAGGATTCGAAGAGCGATAGCGAGCATGAGGATGAGTGTGAATGTAAATGAGTGGGTGCAACAGTATTAATTTAGGAGAAAAAAACCCTACTTTAGTTATGCATTTTAGGTGTCCTAGCATTGCTGGCAGTAAATGTGCCAATTATTTGCCCAGCTCAAATTCTATTTAAGTGTAAAATATATATATTTTTAGCATTATCCACTAGCTCAACGTGTGCCAAAGTCAAAGTCTATAACCCTTTGGAGTTTGGTTAGCTAAGTAAAAGTATTTGTGAAACATAATCTTAGCATATCAGCAACGAAGAAACTTACTCAAGTTCACAATAATCGTTTGAAAGTATTTCCTCTCCCCTAAATGAAATCTATATCTACACACCTAGTGTTTAAGCTAATGAGTCTAGTCTAAACTGGTTAAGTTGGATACTGTTATTTTTGTAAATTGTTGTATTTTAATTCAATTTATGCGTGACCCGCATAGGCTTTTCCCCCGCAAAAGAGCAATAATTATGTGAAATGCATTAATTATTTGTAAATTACAATTTCAAATATTCGTTTGAATATGGTATGCAGGCAGCAAAAATGAACGGCAGACAACAGAAATAATAATAATTATAATAATAATAAAAATCGCATAATTATGTAAAAATCCTTTGCGACTTTTTCGATCCTGGCTGGCTTATGCATTGTCGTTAATAATTGAAAGTTAACGCCAGGCTGGGCAATTTCCCTAATGACTTTTCCGACAAAAAACATGCAGCATACTTTTAAGCGCATTAAGCATCCGCCCCTTGGGACGGCCAGTACATGAATTTTTCCCCCTGGATAAATGAAAAACGATGCCGTGGTCCAAGAAACAGAAGCAAAAACAAGTGTCGCCATTTTTCACTCTACTCGGTAGTTGGCTTCCGCCTTTTTTTTGTTTTTTTTTTTTATTTTTTCTCTGCGCCACGTTGCCTACGGATTTCGCTGGTGGGCAGCAATTTGCGCACATAACTCATTTGCATAAATTTACACACTGACTTTACTTATTCCCACCCCCCGCTTAACGCTCCCACACCTACCGATTTCCCATTTCCCATTTTCCATTTCCCGCAGCTATCGTCGACGGCCAAAGTGGCGAGATGGTTCCAACAACTGCCCTGGCACACCGCCTCCTTGTCGCGTCCGGAGAGCGGCTTCGTATCCGGCGATTCACGCTCCGAGAAGTACCAGGAGGATCATTTCTACGGCGGCATCGCCAAGGAGACCGATGATTTATGCGACGAATTTCTGCTGGTGGAGGGCAGCAGCACCATTTGGACAAAGCTGAGCGCCAAAAAGCGTCGTAAATTGCTAGGCATGCGGCTGGGCAAAGTGACAACGTTCTGAGGTCGCCGTCGGCCCTCGTATTTGCGTAATGTGTGCGTTTATTAGCTGTTAAGTGAGTTTTTAGCATCGCCCTTAAGTGTAGCTTTGATATATTTGCGTAGGCATAGCTAGTTAGTACGAAAACCAATAGACTAAAGGACCAAATTAACCCAAACGAAGCGAAACGGATCGGAACGGAACGGTACGAACAACATGCTCATTGAGATGCCATGCAACAGGCATAGACATAAGTCAATTAGTGGGCATAAAACGTAAGCTCAATGTGTATTTAAGTATTAACGGAATGAAAGTATTTGGCCAAACAGCCCATGGCCAATTCATTAAGCGAACAAACCACGCACATTAATCATACGCCACGTAGCCCATCCACACACACACACAAACACCCACTGCCAGAAGCCAAAAGAGCAGTTACTGTTTAGCTTGACCAACTTTTCGTGTACGAGAAAAACTGGTTATTAAGCTAAGCAAAACAACAGGGATGAACTACAGCAGAGATGGGACTAGAGACAAAACAAAAATAGCAGGAAACGCAGGAAGCAACTTTTCCTGCAGCCAGGACCAAAAAGATCAAATGTTTGTTATTCATAAATTTTTGCTGGCTTCAACGTTTTTATGCATAAATCGATTCTACTTTTACGCTTGGCAGTCCCTTTCCTATACTTTACTTTGCCTTCCATTTTTGTTCATTCGGGTAACTCTATAAATTTAAGTCAGCTGCTGTGGGATACGTGGCGTATAAGCGATTTACTCGAAATTTATGGGGATTGGTTGGCTATAAAATGCGGGGTTGGTAAGGTAGCTAGAATACTACTTTAGTAAGGCAAGCAACGAAGGTGTTTTACAGCCAACAGACTGTACTTCAACTTTGATGGGTTAAGTTAGGGATAGTAAAACCAGATAACTTAAGGTTAGTTGAATATGCAGAGACACCTGCTTAACACTGTGACAATCATCGGGGGTGACCGAAATTTTGCATTTCAAATTTGAGTGCAGCTAAAGCCGGCCAAATGGCTTTCAATAATCATCAAACTCTGTCGAGTTTTTATTGCATTATTTGGCAGCTTTTCCGTTTATTGCCCGACATCACAATGAAAAGACGATTTTCCTAACGATTTTATGACATTTGCAATTTAGGTACGAAATTTATAGATGCAAGAAAAGAAAAAACCAATTAATTTATGTTAAATGGTTTTAGTTAATTTATGCAAACGATTTTTGAGACTGAAACTGAAATTTTGTACTAAGCATAAACCAGGATACACAAACACATGCATACATCACACAAACACATACACAGACACACACATATCCATGCATTCCCACAAACATTTGCGACATATAGGAAAAGTTTTTTATAAGCTACTTTTACCCAAGCTAAATTAATATTAGTTGCTCTGGTTCAACGCAATAGAATAAAGTGAAAATAATAAAAATTAAATGCAACATGCTGTGCAACATGTCCTTATCCAGCTCCGGCCATTTCCACTGCCGCCGTCGCTGCTGCTGACACTTTACAGTTCAATTAATTTAACGCGCTTTGCATGTAATAGAAAGGCATTGCATATCAGCAGGGGCAGGACATGGATATGCGAGGACACACAGGACACGAGGAGCACGGCCCAGCAGGTGGGCTTGGCTTGGCTTCGCTTGCCTTGTGTGCCATGGCCCTGCCAGCTAACAAGCGCATTCTGGCCAAGTGGGAGTGTCATGGAGGAGATACCATCAGCGCAGTCCGCACTGGCTCGACTTGGTAGTACCTCCCACTGGGATGCACATATGTTTTCAGCTTTCGTAAGTATTTATTGGGAGTTTTCCATGGAAGGTTTTCTGCCAGCATGGAAATATTTATAGCTGGAAATTTCCCAAGGAGATACATTTTAAACGTAACTACTTTTCAATACACCAAGTGCTGCATGTTGAAATTTAAAAACCCATTACAAATGTACACATAAAAAAAAAATTCCAAGCAAAAAAAAAATTTAATATTTATTTAAAAATTTTTACTTAAACGAAATCATTTAATAACTGATTTTTAAGCCAAAACTGACTGAAAAAAAATAATACAAATAAAAACCATTATTTAATTTTTATAAAATAGTATATTTATTTTTGTTTATTTAAAGCTTCAAGATTCTGCGATTACATTTTTTTGTAATTTTTTTTTTTATATATTCACTCTCTATACTTGACCATATGTTCCAAAAAAATATTTTTTTTAATTAATTCTTAGGAATAATTGCAAAACGAGGACACTCCATCAATAATGGGTATCACACTTAGAAAACAAAGTGAAGGCACCTTTTTCTGCGCTCATAATTAAGGACACAAGCCAACGCATCTCACTAATGGAAGGCGAAAAAAATATATAAAAATGAAAAGTGAAAGTAAAAGTAAAAAGTCGAAATGAAAAATGGAACTTTCGCACATGGCGAATGCGACATGCGATATTTTGTGTTTTTTTCGGGGTCGAGCTGTTGACACTTTTTGGGGCCGCGGCAGACATAATTAAAGTACACAGAGGTAGGCCGCTATGACCCTGAAAGCAGGAAGTTCACTTTGTGTCATGCGAGCCCAGTCGGTGACAGCCAGGAGAAGCAGTTGAAAGTACCGCGTGTCGTGTCCAACGTCATCCTCTGGCGAGCCGGCAGGACACACAATCGTGTGTGTGTGTGTGTGTGTGTGGCATGGCACATTCATTGACACTTATCGCGTGGGTGGCGCGTTTAATTCACATTTTATTTTCAGTTCCCGTGGCTGCGCGCGTAATTGTTGCTTCCAAGTACGGGGAAAGCCAGGACACGGATGTAGTCAGTTCGCGTTGGCGCTGCACGGCGGACGTGTGCGCGGTAAATAGTTGCCTTTTCCCAGTGTGTGTGTGTGTTGGTGTGTTTGCTCGGCTTTTTGCCATGCAGAACGAGGCAGGGCCATCTGGAACAGGAGCTGGTGCTGGAGCTGGAGCTGGTGCTGGTGCTCCGGGGCCTAGCAACTCCGACTCGGTGCAGAGCCCGCCGGCCCCAGCTCCCCGACGGCCCAAGCCGGGAATTCTCCGCCTGGACATCGGCAAACCGCGACGCTCATCAGGTGGTTCCGTCGATTTCCGCTGCGTGGGCAGCGGCAGCAGCAACGGCAATGGCAACAACAACAGCAACGTGGCCACTGGCGCCAACAGTGAGGTAAGTGAGCATGATTTACGGCCCGCCAGGGAGTGCTTACGATTTGGCCAGGCCAACGACATGGGCCATCGAGTCGGGCCAATGTATCCGTGGAATTGGCCAGGACAGCAGCAGCAGCACCCAGCTGCAGCAATTGCTGCCACCGATGGCCATAAACACCAATCGCACTTAACTGGCGGTCGCTTTTGGCCCGGTCAAGCAATGCAGACAAAGCCAAGAGTTGGCCGTTAAAATCATTTTTAACGCCCTCCAGTAGCATGGTAGAAGATTTCTTGAGTGAACGTGAATTTAGGATGCGCTTTTATTGGTTCCAAAAGAAAAATTTTGAAAAAATAACATTTTTATATATAATTAAAATTTAGGACCGTGTTCTCGTCTTCATGGCATGCGAAAAGTAAGCTGAAAGTGGAAAATGTTATAGCACTATAGCCTAGTTTTGGGAAAAATAATAGTTTTATTTGTTTGTTCAACAAAATTAAATATTGATTTATTTAAATTTATCAATTTATCAATAAAAAATTACTTATATCTATGAAACATATATCCGTTTTTAACGATAAAATGTTTTCCAAAACACATAGACAACGTTCGTTTTGTGCGAAAATAGGTAATAAAATATTTCATTAAAAACCTGATAGATATATTTCGATTTTCCGTCAAATACTTATATTTTACCATTAACTGGAAATGTTTTGTATACATGTATTTATTCATATACATTAAATAGGTGGCAGAACCTGTTCTTCCTGTTCATCTTATACAGCAGTAACTATCTATATAAGAATAAATTATATATGTGGGAGACGTAATACTTAAATTTCGCTATAGAAAATTCTTAAAAAAAATAAACTTATCTGGTTTGCGGTGCTTCTACCGCATTAGTTTTGCAAATAAGTTGTACGACAATAAAGAGTGAATTTCGTCTGTAACCTAATTGTACAACGCCTTGATTCTTATCAGTCGGGTTGCAAAATGCTCTTAATTAAATTAACCAACCAAAAGAGTTGTTTTACTGATTAAACTTAAGCCTAATTACTCAATATGGTAAACTCGAACTTAACATGCCAAATCTCAGATCACTGGAAAGTTCTGCTTTATGGCAGTTAATAAACAAGTTAAATTACTTGGCTCTTGGAGCAGCAGGTAGCAAATCGCACAGCAAACTTGGCACAAGGGCATCCCAGTGTTCATTAGGCCAGACATGCGACATCCAGACGAAGCCAAAACCGAGTGGATGCGGTGGACACACCCTGGACACTCTGCCCTCGACCAGTGTGTGTGGGTGTAGGAGTGGGTGTGGGGCATGGGTCGAGTGTGTGTCTGGCATAAGGGGGGCAAACATTTATTTAGTCATAAAGCTGATGCGTAATCTCAACAAGGCAGGCCAATTCGAGTGGGTCAGTAGTTTGTCAGTTGGCACGTTCGAGTTTGTTTGGTTGCGTCGACTACACACAAAATTGCTCTGCCAAAAAAAGATGTCGTATATGAAGTCAGAGACCCAGCTGAGGCACTTCATCACGCGCAGCAGCTATGAGGGCGCCTGGGACAAGCTGGTGAACGTGATGGACGGATTCGGGAGCTACCGCTATCCGGATGGGAGCGAGTACCGCGGCCGTTTCCATCAGGGCCAGTTCCATGGCTACGGGCATTTGCGGCTGGCCCAGCCGTACCGCTTCACGGTCAAGGGCGAGTTCGAGCACGGTCGTCTGGTGACAGTGGACGACATGTGGTTCTCCGACGGCCTGCATGTCGAGGGCCGCTTCGACGGGATGAGGCTGGAGTGCGATGACTGGGACTACCTGACGCCCGGCGATCGGCGCTATTACAACGAACGCCGCTATGGCCAACAGCCGGTGGGACCCACCGCCTTTATAACGGGCAAAATGCTGCCGCGCGACATCCCGCCGCACTGCTACGACGTCGAGGAGGGCCTGTTCAACAGTAAGACCAGCTGGCTGACGGACCGACCTGGTCCCTTCCGCGGCTCCATGTACGTGAGCTGCAAGAGGGATGCGGATTGGATCAAGCGAAATTGCCGGAAGGCTCGGACTCCGTACGTTAGTGAGCCGTCGGCGAGCTTTTGCCGGCGCATTATAGCCAACAACTTGGCCACGGAGCGATCAGAGATGCGCCGCACCGCCATATATGCGCCCAATGAGGAGGTCAATCGGGAGCGTTACTACCACAAGCTGACCAAACAGCGGGGCCATTCGAAGCCGCCGCTGCGGACCGCTTCGCCGCCGTCACTGCCAGCGGATGATCCCGCCTACGAAACGGAGATGTGTGTGCGTGCCTACGCCAGGATGCTGGACAAGCAGAAGCGGGATCAGCAGGAGTACAAGAAGCTTCATCCTTGCGCCAAAATGGAGGGAGTGAAGGGGCCACGCGAATGGACGAGCACCTCGGATGTGCGCAATCCGGAGTCAGGAGGGGCCTCCAGTTGCCAGTCGGAGAGTTTCGGGGAGGATTCGCTGCCCGTTAACGTCCAGGATGCCTATCGCTCGGCCCTCACAATGATGCAGAAGCGGCCGGCGGACAACATCAACGTGGTGCAGTCCAATCTGATTCGCCACAATAGCTACATGGACATGACGCGGTCCATCTTTGAGTTGTAGATCTACGTTTTAATTGGTCTGTTCGCAGTTCAAATTTATGTTATCAACGTTGTAACCGTAAAATAAAATTCAAACGGTAACTAGTTATGAACCATTTTTTTTTCGGTGTTTGCCGAACAAATTTATTTCTATAAAACAAACAAAAATTTGATAAAAATATTTTTATATATTATAGAAAGCTTTTAAAATTTATCAGATATTCCACAAGCGAACCAAAAACGATTTGAAAAATAAAGCTGTCATAACCACCCAAAGGTCAAAATAATGCAATTAGTTTAGTATTTTTTTTCCGACGTCTTTTCAAAGTAAATAATATTATATCTTATAATAGAAATCCTAAAATACCGTCATTCAAACCTAGAAAATTTTTAATTATGTCTTTTTTCAAAAATTAATAACGAAACCCCTTATATCAGGTATCAGCTGTTGAAATCAGTTCTAAAGAGCCCAAGCCAAAACAAAAATTATTGTCACAGAAAGTAAACTAATATTACATGATTATTAATTTCTGGGTATGAAACTATCGAAAGTGTTAAAATAAAACTACAAGTTATTGGACAACACTTTTAAGCTATTCGATTAGAAATGAAACTAAAAGTATAAAGGTAATAATATTATTCATCATTGAATTAATATGTTATTATACAAAAAGCGTTTGTCTGTAGTTTATTTTCAAGACAAGGCCAAAGCTTTGAAGAGCATATACATATAAGCATTGAAGTTACAAGCATTGTTTTGTAACCCCGTTTTATTTCAATGTTTTGATTGTGCCATAATTTAATTCAGTCGCAAAAGACTTTTGAAAAGTTAATGTGCAGGTAAAGGGCGTATTTATATTGTTTTATTTTTCAACTGGCTTGACCCTTTAGTAGGCGATGCCAGTCCTTTGGCGGATCCAGTCCAGAGCGCTGGTGATCCTGGCGAAGCCAGCAGGCAGGCCCAAGGTGCAGCCTTTGGAGGCCACGAAAGCGGAAATTCCCACCAGAGTGGATCCTTGCTTGGTGACCAGCGGGCTGCCGGCGTCGCCGAAGCAAGTGGACCTTCCGTTGGGAGTACGGGTGCAGAGAATCTGGTCAGAGACCGCGGGGGATCCGTAGAAAGAGACGCACTGGTTGTTGGACATTATCTGGAGGTCCACGCACTGCAGCCAGTCGGTGAGTCCATTGCTGAAGGTCGTGACTCCCCAGCCACAGACACTGGCCCACCAGTTCTCGTAGCGCTGGGATCGATCCCTCAGCGAGGGCAGCACAACCCGGTTGACCCGGTTGCTGAATCCAATCCGCGGAATGCGGACCAGGGCAAGGTGCTGACTGCCCGTCACATACGCGCTGGTGCCCACTGTAACCGTGAACTGCGCCTCACTCAGCCTGGTGGCTCCAAAGTAAATAGTCACCCCGGTACTGCCCACCAGGCACTGCGACGAAGTGAGGATCCAGGTGTCGCCAATGATTGTGCCACTGCACCATATGTTGCTCTGTCCAAAGGCCATGCCCACCACATAGGGCGCCTGTCCTTCGTAGGCGGGACTTCCATTGGTGATCACATGTTCGGGTTTCTCGGAATCCTTCGCAACTGCCCCTGCGACGGCTACTGCCCACGCCAAGATAACCACCAACAGCTTCATGATTCCAAACAAAAGTTGTTGCTTTTCGCGTTCAGTGAATGGCTTGCTTATATAGCAATTCCCTTGGGCGGGTAATTAGGCAAAGTTGGGCTGAGCCGAACATTAGCGCGATTTGTTTGGTTATCTTGGGACTTGAGGAAAGTTACTGATTAAAGCTGGCAGTCTGTTTTTAATAAACATATTTATATACAATGTTAAATGCACAAAAAGCCACATAGTCATTAGCGAAAAATAGTTAGCCAGTTCCCTTAAAAAAAGTATATCAAATATAAAACTTATTTTGCCCGACTATATTTTGCAATATATAACTATTTCCAACTAAATACTTTACTGTTTATTCTATTTTTTGCATTTATTTAATATGCAGTTGTGACATTCCACTTACAAAAATTTCATAAGATAATTTTTTTTATACCCTTGCAGAGGATATTATAATTTCAGTCAGAAGTTTGCAACGCAGTGAAAGAGACATTTCCGACCCTATAAAGTATATATATTCTTGATCAGCATCACTAGGCGAGTCGGTCTAGCCATATCCGTCTGTCCGTCCGTCTGTCCGTTCGTTTCTACGTAAACTAGTCCCTTAGTTTTAAAGCTATCTGCATGAAACTTTTCCAAAAGTTGTCTTACTATTGCACGTAGTATATAAGTCGAACGAGCCGGATCGGAAGACTATATCTTATAGCTCCCATAGGAACAATCGAAAAAATAAATTTAAAAAAATTATAACTTTGCTGTTTTTTAATTTTTTTTTTAAGTTCTTCGATATATAGTAATGGTTAAATATTTTAGAATAACGGTTTAAATTTCATCAAAATCGGACGACTATATTATATAGATCCCATAGAAATAATAAAAATATATAAAATAACTATCTAATTATTGAGCTGCAAATCATCACAGCTTCAATGTTTTTAAACATATACGCAAGTAAATCATAATTTTAATGTTTTCAAAAATGTTTAATTCTTGCAGTACTTGTAACTGCAAGGGTATATGAATTTCGGCTTGCCGAAGTTTGCTTTCTTTCTTGTTTAATATTAAAACACTAACGTTGTTTTTAACTTGCACATAGTAATATTTTTAATAAATAATTTCCCGTTTATATAGCAGATAAAATTTTCCTATCGAAATTTGTCTTTGCAAATAAAGTTTGCGCGTAAACGTAGTATTAAACGATACTTTAGCTCGTCGAATATTCACTCAACACTCACAAGCCTTGACACACAGACATTATTTTTGTAAATTTCTTTTCGTTAAACAAAATACCAAAGTTGTTAAAGTGAAAATGACCCAGAGGATACAGTCCAACTCCATAGCGCAAGTCGATAATCTGATGACTGGAGCCCGATATGTTGGTCCCAGCGATGAGTTGGGCATGCAGGAATTCGGGGTCTACTCGTATCCGGATGGCACACGTTACACGGGAGGTTTTCTGAACAATCGTTTCCATGGAAGGGGCACCATTCAAATGGCAGATCCTTCGGGCGTCACCTTCGAAGTGACCCACAGAAAGGGCAAGTTGATGACGATCGATCAGATAAACTTTAACGATGCTCTGCCCTTGGACTTTGAGATGGTAGATCATCGATCGCTAAGCTTCGAGTCCTGGCCATATTGCACTGCGGAGGATCGTCGCTTCTACCAGGAAACTAAGGAACCCCTGCAGGCCGTTGGCCCGAAAAAGTTCAAGACCAAAGACGGACCCAATCCCATTGCTTTGGGGCGTAATATTTTCGACCTTGGCTTCGGGCTGATGGGCAATCGAGGCTTTATGCTGGACACGAAGACGTTCAGCCATCAGCGATCCTATATGTCCTGTCGCGAGGCCCGTCGCTGGACCCGGGAGCACTGTGCCCATGGACCGCTTTGGAATCGCCACCACAAGCAGGAGGTCAAGGCGCGGTTTGCCCGCCAGATCATCCAGAACAATCGGGAGAATGCTGACGGCAACCGCAAACACTTCATGCCCGACTTGCACGTCTGCCATCGATCCTCCAGCCTGGACAGCTTCGGATCGACACGTCTCCACCTGGCCAGCACCACGGACTCCGACTCCTCGGAGTTGCCGACCATGAAGATGCATCGCCACGAGTTCCGCAACCAGTGGAAGCGATCGAGGAGCGAGAGCAACGTGTGCCGCATCAATTGAGGATTCGATTCTACTTTCTATGTGACTCAAAAAATTCATATATATTGTGTTTAGTTGACCCACATTCTGGTCGGCGGCCAACGCCTTTGGGCATGTTAAGGCCAAAGATTTATGGAGAAATCGCGAAAACTGCAGCCGAACATGGAAAGCCACTTAGGCCTACTCTAAAAAGGCGTGGGTGTTTAATTTTTTTTTGGGTCATCCCAATCCATGGCGGCATTGAACTTTGGCTTAAGTTAACCTGGTCTTGGATTTAGGCCTAGGCCACTGGCACAGCGGGTAATGAACCCATAATCGCCGGACATTAGGCATTATGCTACACGTGCGCGGTCGACGAGAGATAAATTTGATGTTAATTAAAGCCAGCCGAGGACTCCATTTAATTAAAAGGGACGAAAGTGAAATCAGAGAAAGCGAAAAGGGAAAGCGAAACAGAAACAGAAATAGAAAACATGGCAGAGAGTGCCAAAACATATTTCAATAGTGGACGCTCCCCTGACACACAAAAATGGGGGGAAAACCGTAGAATTTCGCGATTTTCCTTTATCAACCCTTGCATGTTTGATTTTCATTTACATGGCCAGGCCAAGAATACAAGGTGACTCAATATGTCCAGCGCTATACACACACATTCCGAGGCACTCAAACGCCCACACAGACACACACACACACTCGCCCACGACGCCATCTAAATGGACATTCGAAGTCCTGGCTGGTTACGCCCGGATACGGCGTTGTTATCACATGCCGCTGGCGATTTTTACACTCATTCGTCTTCGTTCCAACTGGGCGAGGAAGTCGGTGAAGCCAGTGAGCCAGTGGGTCCTGTTTCCCTCCAGTGTCCGTTTAAATTCCTTGGCTTGTGCGGGTGTGCGTGTGTTTGTGTGTGTGTGTGTGTGGGTTTTGGGCACGTTTTGGCTTTGATAAGTTGCCCACTGGGTGGGTCGGATGGTCCTCCCTCTGTCCGTTCTTCATTCATATTCATTCATTATTAGAAAAATTTAACTTTCGCTCGCTGTGGCCAGCTCGTTCCACCTGTCTGTGTGAGGTCCTTGCTGGTGATGGTGATGGTGATGGCGATGGCAATGGCGATGATGGTCTTTTGCGCCTTGCTGTTCTGGCCAGCCAGCTAAGCCGTTCAGTCTGCGCACAAGGCTGCTCCAAAGCGCTACGGCGGCTAACTGGCTAAATCAGAAGCACAAAATCAGTGACTTGTTGTCCATTAGAGGCACTTTCTTTGAGAGGAGATACAGCTAAGAGCCACTCATAAATCCAAAATAATTACAAGTGTAATAAATAAATGAGCAATTTGGAGTGAAAGTTTCTCTGCACGCAAAGAGTGGCAGTGTGATTGGAGTAATTAGCTGTCCCGGTACAGCACTTGGAAATAAGTTGAGTTAAGCTTTCGCCATCAATTCGTAGAACAACTCGGGAGTCACCTCGCCCCACCAACTGTCTGTGACCTGGGCACCGCCATGCGACCTGAATAGAGGTGGCTGGCAAATGCAGAGCAGCGCCGATGCCAAGAGGGAATTCTACAAAGGACAAAGGGGCAGAAGGTAAGTGGCCTCAGCCTCAGCGCAAAATATTATTTAAGACCATGGAACTTGCTTGCTATCTTGCCCTCTGCTTTCTTATTCATTTACATTTAAGAGCTGCATCACAGGAGGACCATAGATCTTACGAACTGAACGGTATGCCCAGGCACTCTAAGAAAACTTTGAGCTTGCCTTTGAATTTAAAAGGGGTTTTTATGTCATTAAAGAAACTATAGAAAAATTAAGTTTCCACTGAAATCAGAGCCCTTGTAGTAAAAATATTAAAAAATATTTAACTATAATATGAAAACATTATAAAGAAAGTATATAATATATTTGGTTATTTTATTTTTAATAAAAGATTGTGAAATTGATTATATAATTTTGAATGTGCTTTAATTTAAATTATTTTGTAACACATTTAAGTAAGACATTGAATTTTGGATTCTTGTCAATACTGTTTCATAATATTATTATTAGAAAAAATGATAATCTATTTGTTTTGTATATAAATGATTAAAATTTGATTTCATACATAATCCGAACTCTAGCATTGTAGTTTCCAAACAGTTATAACTTAAAAGCGATATTAATTTTATGGATACAACTTAAATGGCGGAATTTTTATTTTTACAATTTTTAGTATCTATAGAACTATTTATTTTTGTCTTAAATTCAATAGAAGTTGATTTGGATTCATGTTATTTATTTCAAGCCCAAGTAAATTATTTTTATACAACTTTTAATACATTAAGAATTATTTAAAATTCACATTTTAACTTACCTTTCCTTACTTTCTATTAAAATATTTTTAAATTCAGTATATACTGATAAATTTTCGATATAAAAAAGTGGTGTTAGTAAGCATTTACTTAAGAAAGAAATCTATTAAATCCCAAGTAAACTGTTCTGTGAGTGTAAGACCTTCACCCGCCTCTTCCATACAGACTTTCCATTGCAAAACCAAAGCAGCGACGCCGAGAGCAGCCACCACGAGCCCCACTTCGTCCAGCATCCACCAGGGATTGGATTCGAGAATGGCGGCGGCATCGGCGGCGGAGGCGGCGACGTTGATGTTGATGTCGACGACGAGGAGGACTACTCAATTTCCGTATCGGCAATAATGCAGAGACGTGCCAGTGTGCGCGGATATCGGGGCAAGCGCGGCAGCCGCAGTTCGCGACGGGCATCCAGTCCCATGGATCACGTGCTGGATAGTGTGGAGCGGCGACGCTCCAGCGTCTATACGACAAGTTCAGGCAAGTGCATGTGCGGGCCCCATAAGTGTCCCAAACAGATTTCGCTTAGTTAACGAGCGGACGAGCACACGAGATGGAGATGGAGATGGAGATGGGGTCCTCTAGTGGCAGCTAATCAACGTCTGGGGGCCTGTTTTCCGTAATTTTTCATGCTACGTGTGGCACGTTTCGTGGCGCATACTGGGCGTATGTGTAATCTCTTTTGACTTTGGCTTTGCTTTCGTTTTTCGTCTTTCGTTTTTCGTCTAAAAACACAGAGGAGGGCACCAATCAGGAGTCCACGCAAGAGCAAATCTTTGAGAACATCCGCCTGCACAAGGAGGTCATACAGTCGGTGAAGCTACAGCCATGGCCCATCCGCAAGAAGCTCAAGTTGGTGCGGCAGGTGGGTGCAAATGCCATGGCTTTAAGATGGGCGTGGAATTGTTTGGTGGATGGAGGATGGTGGATGGTGGATGGTGGACTGGAGGTGGCCCCAAAAAACTGGGCGCGTTCGTTTTCACGCCGCTTGTCAGGTCGTTGAAAATGTTACGACCCCCGAACACTCATCAAATCCTGAACTAAGCCAAACTTTTCGATTTCGTTCACACCGCAAACACAAACTCACACTCACACTCACACTCTTTATCTCCCATCTTGCGCTACGCCCTGGCATTTTTAATGATGTTTGGACTTTGGGATCTGGCCCTTGGATGGATGTGTTGACAGGCCAAAACATATGTGGCACGCCACGAAGGCGCGCTCCAGGAGCGATTCGCCATGTCACGCAGCACCCGGGACTTGTGGGCGAGGTTTAAAATTTTAATGGCGGCAGTAAGTGAATTTTAGTACACGCTTACCTCTTTTTTTCTTTATCCACAGCCCCAGCATTGGGGCCCCAAGGCAAACGCCCTGAGGCAATGCAAAAAATATTTATGTTTACACAATTTATGGGCCACTTTCCGGCCGGTACGGACATTCAATAAATCTGCACTCGCATAATTCACGGAGTTATGTGTGCTTGGGTGCCCGGCATTTCGCTGGCTGCGGGGGGCGGGGAAACCAATTAAACTACGAACTTGCAGTCTGCAATTCCTCCGAGACATAACTCATTGGGTAAATCCTTCTGTCATCCCGTTCGTACAGAGATGGCGGCACTGGAAGCGGGAGACGACCAGCTTCCTTACCGTCCTCATTCCCTGGGAGCTGCGCATCAAGGAAATCGAGTCGCACTTTGGGTCCGGCGTGGCCTCCTACTTTACATTCCTGCGCTGGCTCATGTGGGTCAATATCATGATTGCCATTCCGCTGGTCGCCTTTGTCATTGGCCCGGAGGTGAGTGTCCTCGAAAGTAGCCAATTTGTTTTTCCCCATTTATGTTTCCGCTTGGCTCTGCTCCAGTACTTTGCCACCAAGCACGGTGAAACGGATCCGAGGAAAAGGATGTCCGACCCGGAGGCGCGAGTGGCCGGCAACCTTTTCACTTTCTGGGAGTTCGAAGGATACCTGAAATATTCACCAATGTTTTATGGGTAAGATTCTTTCAGTTTTACTTTAGGAAGCTTACTTTAGAATATTAAAAAATTAAGTATATAAATAACACAATTGCACAAACCAATTTTTATCATAATGTTATGCAGTCGAATAGTCAATAGCTCTGACATTTTCGCTATTTAATACTATACTTTTTTAACTTGTTTATTTATCATTCTAAAACAATTTTATTAATAACAAAATCACATTTTCATAGTTTAGTTTTGTCTTTGATTTTCATATTATGTTGGGAAGAAATGAAAATTTTTAAATTATTACAGAGTCTAAAAAGTTATTCAAAAATTCAAAACAATTTAATTATTTTATGAATTTTTATTTGGCACTAGAAGACGATATTCATCATTTGAGACATTTTTCCCTAAACTGTATTATAAATTTATATTTATTTTTTTTTTTACTAAGATTAAATAAATAAGTACCAGAGCTGTTAGCACAAAGTATCTTTTCAAAGGAGTGGGGCTTATAAAGATATTATATTTTTCTGAAATTATTTAATTGTAATTCAGAGCTGGGGAATGAGAATTATATTAATTGATGGCAATATCTGTATACCACATATTCTCTTGTTGTCTTTCCCCAGATACTATTCAAGCACATCCGGCATTAGCACGTCCGGTTATAAGCTACCCTTAGCCTATTTCCTCACCGCCGTTCTGGTCTACATCTACAGCTTTGTGGCCACGCTGAGAAAGTGAGTAAATAAGGGTTCCTAGGGGTCATGGGTCCCAATGTGCTGGTGTTGGGCGGGCACTTCATTAAATCCCTGGTCATCGAAGCCGCAAAAAGCAAACTAAATGTCAGAATGCTCGTTAATTAATTAAACAACTCTGAAGCGCTGATTAAATAATACAAATCTTGGCGCAAGGCGTGTCTCGGGGGCCGAAAACAAAAAAAAAAAACTTTCGACCCTTCGGAAGGCGAAAAAGCATTGGCCATTATGATTTACGCACGCACACGGCCACAGACACGTGCAAAAAGGGGGCGGTGCGGGGCGGGTCGGGAAAGGGGGCAGGGAAACGGAAACGGAAATGGAAACGGCAAAACGCCATTTTGACCATTGGGCGGCTCGCTTTAATGGCTTTGTCGGCATTATGTTGATTTCGTAATTGAACAAAGTAGCAATGTCAACAGTGAGCAGCCGGCACTGACCTTTCCGCTGGCCACTTTTGCCCCAGCACGTGCTCGGCGTACGTGAATTATTCCAATCGCCACGCTATCTGTGTTGCAAAGCGGGGATTGTCGGGATTTGAGCACAAATTATGACCTGTTAGAAGACGGAGGCAGTGGCTAAAAACTTTTCTCGATCTGTCGACAGAATGGCGGAAAACTCGCGCAATTCGAAACTTTCCTCGAAGGACGACGAGTGCGTCTTCTCGTGGAAGCTCTTTACCGGCTGGGACTTTATGATTGGTAAGTGACTGGTGCCATTCGAGTCGCAGTCACAACTTTTGCATCTCCCACAGGACACGCGGAGACGGCCCACAATCGCATCGCATCCGTGGTGGTGGGCTTCAAGGAGGCCCTGCTCGAGGAGGCCGAGAAGAAGAAGGATAATCGCAAGTAAGTCGCGGCCAACTGCAGCTATTTACTTACCATAATCGATGCGCCGTGTCCTTTCAGCTGGCGGGTGATACTCCAGAGGATACTGGTCAATATCCTGGTGATGGGACTGCTGGGTTTGTCGGGGGCCACAGTCGTCCTGCTGGTCAATCAGTAAGTGGTTTGCTGAAAATAAGAAATAAAATGCAATGAATAAATCATAACTTACATTCAAGTATAAGAATTGAACTGTTCTCTTTAAAGTAACCTTAAATTTTCTATTTTTTACATATTTTTTTGTGCTGCGGTTTTAAATGAACATGAGCTTATTTCAACTCGATATAAAATATTTAACTTAAATATTTACTTCATGATGTTGCCTTTTTTTAATGTATTAAAGCTTAAAAACAGATAAAGCACTCTTTTAACTCGATATTAAATATTTAACTGAAATCCTTACCCTTTATTTGGGTTTCTTCCTTTTTTAATGTATTCCTTTCTGTGTAATCCCTTTTGTTTAAAGCTCCGAGGATTTGGCCAAGCACGACAACTGGCTCAGTCGCAATGCGGTGAACGTGACCATGACCCTGCTCTCCTTCTTCCTGCCCATGATATTCGAGGCACTGGGTCTGTTTGAGAACTGGCATCCCAGGCAACAGCTGCGATTGCAATTGGCACGGTGAGTTTTAGAATACTAATAACAAGTAATTGGTTATAACCAAATATCTCCTGCTTTTTAGCATTATGATCCTGAACATGCTGAATTTGTATTCGCTGATGTTCTCCTTCATCTACAAGATCAACAGCAAGGAGAAACCGCTGCAGATGCTAAAGATGGAAAACGAAACGAATACCATGGAGCTGAGAAATCTGCTGAGTTCAATAGAGGCATTAAAGGCCATGACTCCGTCTCCTTCCCTGTTTAGTGAGACTACATCGGATGGTCTGTTTGATGATAATAATGGCAGCTCCACCGATGGCATATTTTCAACCACAGCCGCTGCCGCTTTGATCTCCACCACCGTGCAGCGTCTCAAGTGCTATAACATGACTGTGAAATGCTCAAAACCACGCACCATCTTCAATGCTAAGAACTTGGCCACCACTCTGATGGTTTTCAATCTGACCACGCCAGCCATGGTGCCCACCTTGCCCACAACATTGCCCACCACAATACCTTCGACTTTGAGTACTTGGACAACCACGGAGACAACCACACCCACAACCACTTCACCCTGGACCACTTTACCGCCCTTGACAACAACCAGTGAGGCAACCACAACGACTGAAAGAACCACAGCAGCACCCACAACAGCTACTTTACTAACAACCACTGCCGAAGTTGTTAATGTCGTTCCCAATACTACAACACCAATAACTAAAATCTCAACAACGCATCTTAATATTCCAAATTCAACAACTACAACTGCGATTCCCAACTCAACAACTACTATTGGAGTTTCTGACCCATCAACTACTATTGCAATTCCAAACTCAACAACTAATAGTGCATTTTCAAACCCAACAACTATAACTGCAATTCCAAACTCAACAACAGCTCCAAACTCATCAACTAATATGGCAACTTCGAGCACTATTTTGGCAACCAGCAGCACCACAAAATTAACTACCACTACAACCACAAGCACGACCGAAAAACCCAAGTCAGACGATAACTTTTTCTACACCACTGGGGATGATGAGGGCTCCTATGACTATGGCAGTGATGAGCCACATGCCTCCGCCTCAGATGCAACATCAGATGCTCCGGAAATTAACAACTACTCAGATATAACAGATTACTCTTCGGCACCCTCTGATACAGAAGATTTCGATGAGCAGGGGAGTACCGACCAGGTGGACGATCCACTAGCCAAAGTCTTAGAGCAAGTGGATGAAGAGGAGCCGAAGAGCCGCCGTAAAAGGGCAGTGGGTGATCCACATTTCTGGCGCTCTAGTAAGTACAGCAGACGACATCGCAATGATTCGGCGGTATCTGCTAGCCAGGCTGGTGAAACCACTGAGGCGGGAAGTGCCACGCCCAGTCGGTGGCCCAATTATTGGCCGCCCTATAGACCAACCACTCCGAGCACCACTACAACAAAAAGGACGCTGACTGGGATTCTCAGCAAAGAGGAGTGGGAAAATCTTAGGCGACTTAGAAATAGGCAAACCACTTCAACAAGTACTAGTACGACAACAACAACAACAACGACTAGAAGGCCCTGGAAAAGACTTCCAACAGCAAGCACCACCGAAGAGGATGTATTTACCACCGAATCGACGAGTTCAGAGAGCACCACTTTCGAAAGCAGTAGTAGTAGTAGCAGCAGCTCCACCACAGAAGAAGATGAATTTTCCTCCACGGAGGGATCAGTCAAGACCACCTACTACATAGGCAATGTGGATTTATCTGAGTTCGGGAGTACCAGCTATTTCGACGAGGACAGCGAGTCCCTGGAGGAGTGTGTGATTACCATTTGCCCCAAGGGAGACGACTTTTTCGGCAGCACCACTGAAAGCGCGGATGGCACCACCCCGAGTGGCGACTCCAAGCAGCTAACCACCGTGAAACTGACGCCGCTGGAGCAGAAGCAAAAGCGTCTGAAGGAGGTGCAGCTGGCGATTAAGAAGATACAAACCAATTTGACTACCATGTGTTGGGAAACCTCGCTGGGCCAGGAGCTCTCCAAAGTCATCGTCTTCGACGGGGTGAGTGCGGTTCGGATGGTTCAACATGGGATGCCGCAGTTTAAAAGCAAATTTATCACCATGAGCTGCTATCAATTTCCCTGGCCTTCCAGCTCGGAAGCTCTCAACTCTCTACTGGCTCTGCATCAAAATCTATTTAGCCTTAAATATGATTGAACACAAAAGGGAGTAGTAGCTGGGCTGGGCGTGAAAGCCCGTTTAGCTAAATTGTCCGGAAAATTTAACGCAAAATTTGTCTTCCGCTTCTGCCCTTAACACTCTTTGTCTGCCTTGTTTTTTTAATCTATTTTTTTTGTTTTCTGGGTCATGGGGATTTTGAAAATCAAATTTTTGCGCTCGTCTAGCAAACCAAAATCCACTTGACTTAAAAGGCCAAACGATTCGAAAGAGAAAAGGCGAAATGGAAGTGAAAGAAAAGGCATTTTATCATAATAATCGCTCTCGGGAGTCCTTTTCGACTGAAGTGAAACGCAGCTGGCTGTCAGAACAGGAACTTCGATTTGCAGTCAAAAATTTACATAAGCCATAAGCATGGCTGTGAACTTTGGCCCCCCGAATGCCAACTTTTATTTGGCCATTTGCCACGTCGAGTGTCGTCGATTGTCATCCCCATTGGGCTGCGAACTTTCAGTCTAATCGTAAACAAATTCATGGCATTGCCAAAGTTTTCAAGGTCAGTCGAGATGCTCGTGAGATAAAAGACACGGTGTAGATATCCGGCCAAGTCAATAACCCTATTGGTCGTAGACAACCGCTTAGACTTTTCAAAGGCATCTCAATCTGGGGATTACTTGCCCTTTTATTTCGTACTTAACATTTGTCCGACATTCGTGTAAACTGTGTGTAGGCTGGCCGCTGGCCAAAAATGCCCGAAATGCCCTAAAAAAAATGAAAAAAGAGACATGGGTCTTGGTACCCAATTTGATTATGCCCCCCGACATGGCGTACATAATCTCTATTAAACGATTTAAGCACATAAATTAGGCAAGTTACGGGCCGGGGCTTAAACGCATTTATGCTATACGCATAACAAAATCCAGGCACTGGCAATGGGGAATTGAGTTTGGTCATGTGCGGTTTGGGTTTTGCAACCGGTATCCACATCCACATCCACATCTCCTTCTAGTTCGGTTTTCGATTCAAGCTTGGGGGCACGTGTTCGTGCATGAATTTGGACCGCAGAGTCGTAAACTAGAAGTCACAAGAGGTAACAACAGAGATGCAACGTTACGTGTGGCAACTTTTAAGCGACATCATCCGGCTACCAAGTTTATTACAAGGCACTTATTAAACCCCTCTTTTCCACCTTACCACCTTCTTACTTTATGTCATCCTCATAAAGCTGATGTCCATTGTGGCGCCCCTGTGCATTGACTTTCTGCGCGCCCTGTTCGTCCGGTATGTCAATCAAAACTGGTGCTGGGACATGGAGAAGACCTTTCCCCAGGTGAGGACACTAGGACACTAGGGCACTCCATCCGGCGTTGTGCCGTGACTAATGCGAGGCTTTGTTTTCGTTCGTTCGCCGTAACAGTACGGCGACTTCAAGATAGCCGAGAACATCCTGACGTTGATTAATAACCAGGGCCAGGTGTGGATGGGCATATTCTTCTCGCCGGGCCTGGTGCTCATCAACCTGGTCAAATTGATGATCATGATGTACTTCCGTTCGTGGATAGTGCTCACCTGTAATGTGCCCCACGAGGTGGTCTTCAAGTGAGTGGTTATGAGCTCATCCGGAGATGGTTGCTCGTTGTAACCGCCAATCTTTGCAGGGCCTCCAAATCGAACAATTTCTACCTATCGCTGCTGTTGACCATGCTATTTCTTTGTGTCCTGCCCGTGGGATATGCCATTGTCTGGCTGCGTCCCTCCTGGCACTGTGGACCCTTCTCGGAGTACAATCGGATAGCTGAGTTTATCACCAACACAACGAGAAATGCTCTGCCAAAGTGAGTTCTTAAAACAAGTAAGATTGTGTATAATCATGATTGAAACTTTGCAGACAACTGCATGAGCCCCTGGACTACATGACCTCGTCGAGCACTGTGATTCCGCTGCTGCTGCTGCTCATCCTCATCATCTACTACCTGGTCTCCCTGACCGGAGCTCTGCGCGAGGCCAATCAGGACTTGCGAACTCAATTGCAGAAGGAGCGCGAGGAGGAGCGCAAGAAGATCTTCAAGGTGCCGGAGGTCAAGCAGGCGGAACCCACGGCCACCACGTTGACAAATCGCTGGCGCAAAGTCCTGGAGGCCAGCTCTCCGGTCACGCCCACCCAAGCGCCAGATTTCGACACGGAGGAGTACAAGAATCAGGCCCGGAAAGGTAAGTCAGAGAGATTGTTGTCGGTTCACAATTTTCATTTGTTTCGTTGCCATTCAGAGCTAATCTCACGCATCATGAAGAAGGCGCTGCGCAAGGGCTCGGCCACCTCCGACGAGGACTCGTTTGTGCGGCGGGATGACGACGACACGGACACCGAACACCAGGACTCGCTGCCCCATGACGAGGAGGCCAAGGACAAGCGCTTCGGCCTGTCGCGATTGCAGCAGATCCGGCGCACCCGCAAGCCCTCGCTGGTGGACATCGTACAGATTGCCAAGCAGGAGCGAGCCCGCACTGGATCCATTGTGGCTGGGACTAGCTCTGCGGGACCAACTAGCAATTTCCCTTTAAAGGAGACCCATCCCAAGAGTCGCTTTAAGGTGGAGAAACACGAGCGCAAGGATAGGGGTAGTGTGAAGGAGAAAAAGGACACCAAACACAAGCAGTCACAGCCACAGCCGCATCCACATCCGCCACCCTATGAATCGCCCAAGGACAATGAACATGATCCGGATACAAATTCAAGGATTGTCAGCGAGCGCCGAGCCAGTTTGCTAAGGCGAAACCAGAAGCAGGCGGAGGAGGAGCCCACCACCCCAGAACTCGCGCCGCAAACACCCACTTCGAGAGACAAGGAAGCGGAGCCGAGTGCCGAGGAATCCAGACCAGAAACTTCCCCTCTGGCCAAGAGCAAATTCCACATAGTTGACGAAAAGAGGCCGCCGCAGGAGGTCGAAGACAAGCCCTTGCCGCCGGCCAAGGAAAGTGAAAGTGGCCGAGGCGGAAGCCTGGGCAAGTTCAAGTTTCGCAAAAACAAATTCAAGTCAAATAGTGCGGTGGCCAAGCCGGAGCCCGAAGTTTTCAAGTTCGATGAGCGATGTGTGGAGAAGAGCACGGATGTGCCCGCATCTCCCGCTGCGGAGCACCTGCACAGCGAGCTATCCGGCGGGGAGGAGCCGGATCGGAGTCTGCCCTCGCCTACGCCCAGCCAAGGTCAGAGTCAGGGTCAAGGTCAAGGTCACCACCAGCGACAGCTGTCTGTCCTGTCGCGACAGGGACGCAAAAAGATAGGCAACCTGCTAGCCCTGGTTCGCGAGGCAGTGAATCTGAAAAAAGACGATGCAGAGCAGGGATCGGATGAGTCGCCGGGCCCGACCACGCCCACTTACCTGGCCTACACACCGCCACCACCCCCATCAGTATTGTCCAGCGTGTCCAGTTCGACGGCCCTGGAAATGCCACCCACTCCAGAGCCGGAATCGCCCACGCCCAGTGCACCGCTGCATTTTGGCAGTAGCACATCCTCTCGTCCGCCCACCAAGCCACCCAAGCCACCAGTGGTGCCCGCATCGGCCACTGCTCCCACGGCCACCATGGACGATCTGGAGGAGCTGGACATGGCCGGACCTATAACGTTCCCCAAGCGAAGCGATTCCCATCGACGACGCACAATGCGACAGGACTCGCAGAGTTCCATTTGGTCGGACAACATACCCACCATTACGATTAGCACCACCGGCAGCGATGAGTGCATTGTGGATGCAGCTGCTCCGCAAAATGGACTGCCCGAGTCGCGAAGTACTTCGCCGGGACCCACGGTCAATATTATAAAGATTGACATTGAGAAGGAGCAGGGACAATGATAAGCCTGCTGAAGAAGTGCCTTCAACGCCAGATTGTCTTCTTAATTAAAGAAATTAGCATTCTTCCTACTCTAATTAACTGTTTAGCTTGAATCTTGTTCTCTAGCATTTTTGGAAAATCTCTCGGTCTATAAAACATAATGATATTTCATACATTAGTTTATTTCCATAAGAAACTATTATAATAAACCATTCTATATTGCACAAAATCCAAACGAGTTTTTATTCTCAGGATTTCTAGTAATTAATTTTTTAAATCTTGTTATGAATACCACTTTTATGATATTATTTTAATTTAAGTCGATTTTGACTGCATTTCAAATTTAAATACGCGCCAACAATAGTGTTGGCTAATTATTTTGCAAGCAGTGCAAGCAGTGGATTGGTAGTTCCAAAAATGGGCTCATTGTTTTAGCGCCACTCGCTTTGAATTAATATTTCATTTTCAAAGGAAAGGTTGCAGTACTAAACCAAAAAAAACTCAACTCTGCTTAAAAAAATTATTTCATATTAAATACGCTGTTAATAATTGAATTAACACCTACTTTCAAAGGAAATTCAAATCGTTTTCCCAAAATAATATAAGCACAATAGGTCTTTAAACCGAAATCTAAAAAAAAAATGAATACTGTGAAAATATCATATGGCATAATTTGAATTTAATTTAGAAACCCCAAATACAACACAATCCAATGGTTCTGAGATTGCTCTTATATGATTTCCTGAATGAAATCGAAAGTGCGGCGATGATTATGGTACATCAACCTCCTTATCAGCGGTGCCAGCGATAACCTGCTAACTCTAATAACTACAAACTAAGCGAAAAGTAGAGCAGAGAGCAGCTTCCGAGCCAGATACCGTGGCGTTTTTTTGTTTCGAGACGGATCTTTTCATACGAACGCTGTTTAAATTTTTGCCCGCCTAAATGAGCAATTAGTGGAATTCGTACGAAGAGCGAGGCAATCAATCCGCAGTACTCCAATGAGGAAGACTTTCGTGACTGGAGAGCTGTGCTTAGACCAACTCCCGGGCACGAAACACTCCAACCAGATCCGTCTACCACTCTCTCGCAATTCAATTGCAGATACAATACACTATGCCGCGGCAGCAGATACAGATACTGAGCGCAGAGTTTCACTCAACGAGCGATCGGATCGGATCGCTGGGCCTGGCATTCCTCGAGATCGAGAGTCAGTTGAGCAGTCGAGCAGTTGAGCATTGGACGTCCTCGTTAGCGGTTGTCTTCGGAGCGACGAAGTAAGTGGTGGTGCCGTGCCACCAGTAACCAAATCCAGTGCAGCGGAGTCTCAAGTTTTCTCGGGTCACCTTTTGTATGTTTTTTTCTGTTGGCCAGGCGGAAAGTAACCCGTGAGGTGCTGGTGCTTGCCTTCGAGGTGCCGATACAATTACAATCCCAGTTCGAAACGCGAGTCAGCAGAAATGCAACAGGGCAGAAAAGTGTGCACACAACAATGTTGGGTGTAGTTGATCGCAGGCCCAGTGCTCAGTCCTGTTAATAATTGTGGGGAAATGTTTTGGAAATCGCCGAAAAGTGCCATGTGTTATGGGTCCGTCGCAGCGGAAAATGTATCTACCATATAAATAGCCGATAAATAAACGAAAATAACGCAGTTGCTGCGCCCTGTGTGCATCTGTGGGATACGAAACGGAGTTCGTAAATGTATCTGAGTGACTCTTTTGAGTGCTTTCCACCGATTTCCCTCTACCTGCTGAGTGTGTGTATGAGTGTGCAAGTGTGCGAGTGTGCGTGCGGCTGAACCAGTGGATAAAAACAAACCGAGCAATAAAGATACAAGCCAAAAGGTGCAAACAAAAACGCATTTTAGCCTCTTTAAAAGCATACAAAATAAACACGAACTCAGCACAGAGCTGTGGTCTCTATATATATTTATATATATAGACAGTGATATCAGCTAGTTCATAGCCCCAAATTCTTATCGCCAAGGAACTCGTGTTCGTTTCATAGGCGCGTATCTCGCCGCGGCTCAAGACCCATATAGCCAGCCGTATGGGGATCTCAAATCTGAATGGAGCGGATGTTCGTTCCGCCGACCGTAGCCATAGTGTATGCTATATACATAGTATGTGTGCCTGTGTCCCGAGTGGTGTATAGTTCCAGTATCAGTGTCTTGGCCTCCGCTGAACTCTGCGCAAAGGGTTCAGCTGCGAGTCGGCCTGACAACAGTTTTCGTTCATCCGATGCTGATAAAAAAGGAAATAAATGAAAAATATACCATAAATAGAATTTATATGAAAGCAATTAATAGTGGAAGAAATCTCGGCTGTGTGAACTGTGTGTTTGTGTGTTTATGTTCTTCTCTGTTCAAAAATAATGAAACCCTGATCCGGACTGCGATTTCTAGATAATAATACATTTTGGAATAGAACGAGCGCCGCTTCTAGGAACTCAAATTAAGAATGAGAGACGAACATTATAAGCATACATGAATGAAATTCCCTTTCAGCTGGACATGATCTCAAGTTCCGCATCTGACCCACGAGAACTGGTATTTTCCTGTATCCAAAGAGGAATCTTTTGTGTTCCTCTCACATTGCATTCTGTTCCAGAGGATGTGATATCATCTTCGAGCAAAAACACTGTACAAATATTTGCTAATTAGTGCCTCTACTTAACTGAATTCATAGAAAAGGCGCACAAGATCTGCAAAACCTAAATGAATCTAACCTTGCAACTAGTGCACTGAATACTAAGTCTTAGAGATCCTCCTAATTATTAGAAGGCAGCCGCCACAATTGCAGCTCAAAATCGAGAATGAGAATGTGGATGAGAATAAGTAGAGGAGTAGATGAAATCATCGCATAGAATTACTTCAAGTTCCCGAATAGCAAATACACATGGTGGGCAGTACAACCACATATATCGTATGTGTACTCTACTCTACTGCTGCTGGAACTCATGCTCGAGAGGTTATTTATGTCTCTGCTCACGGCTGCTTGTTGTTTGAAATTTTCATTTGCAGTTTTGCCTTTCGAGTTTTCGTTTTGTTTACCCAAAAGCAAATGAACTCATTGCCGGTCCGGCCAGTAAAGTTTATTTTTCGACTGATTTGCTCGGCGAACTAATTAAAAATCGTCCCCTCGCCGCCGCAATATGTGGCACACATGTTCCTGGACTTGGTATCTAAACTGATTCATAATCCCATGCATTTTCCAGCATATGAAGTCGCTCAGGCACCACCAATAGGAAAGATTCCGTAATGAATTGAAGAGCGACCACACAGACGAAGGAATCTCGAAGGAAACCCGCCCAGAAAACCATATAGTCTTAGAACTTGACCACAATCCTAGTGACAACAACCCACCCACCTGTAGCCAACGAGTTACCCCACCGCATCCACCATGAGACGCAGTCGGTGGAGCCACAGTGGCTCCTCCACGGCGCGACTGCTGCTGATCGGAGTCCTGATCGCCAGCTCTGCCACCACCATTCTCGCCGCCCTGCGACCACCCATCAACTCGGCCGGAGGGCACGAACTGCGCGGAACCACCTTCATGCCGGCCCTGGAGTGCTACGATCCATATGGAAGACCGCAGGTAAGGGGCGGATTTCGGAATTCGGAACTGCTTTCCACTTTGTTTGTCCACAAGCAATTGAAAAGAATTGGGAATTAGCGGTTGGACAGTCAGCTTTTGGGTTGGGTCAATTCGAGTGAGAGATGCAAACTAATTGAGTAATAAAGCGACAGTTCGGGGGAATAGAAAATGTAGAGGAGTTAATTAAAGAATTTAATGATCAAACTAAATATGTTGTCAAAACAAAAATATCTATGTATTTTATTATATGATTACTATTTATTTTAATTAAATGAAATAATCTAGTGATCATTTCAGATATGTTGTCAAATTACAAATATGTATGTAATTTTATAAAGAATATCTATTGTTATATGATTACTATTAAATTTTAATTGATAACTCATAGCCAGTCAGCCTTAAGAAATAAAATAAATCGTTTAATGTGAATTAATATTTCCCAGAAATCTCTTTCAAGCCAATAAATTTTTCACACATTTTTGAGAAACCAGAGTAGAGCTTCAAAGTATTGACATCAAAGAAAAAATGTTTTTCTTTATTTGCAAGCCAATGATTTTAATGTGAGACATGGACATGTATCATATAATAATTTCTTGATTTACATTTAGAAATGTCTTCCCGAGTTCATCAATGCTGCCTATCAGCTTCAAATCGAGGCAACTAACACCTGTGGCGACCAGAACGACAACCACTTCTGCATACAGACTATGAACCAAAATCATAAAAACTGCGAATTTTGCAAGTGAGTAGAATTACTAAAGATCCCTCATTTGTTTGGCTAACAATGAGATATATCTTTTCCAGATATGGTGATCACCATCCTTCATACCTGACGGACTTGCACGATCCCCAGAATGTCACCTATTGGCAGTCGGAGACCATGCTGGAGGGCATTCAGCAACCGAACTACATGAACCTGACTTTGCATTTGGGTAAGTAAAAATAGCAATTAATTTAGGCATAGCTAATGAACCAAATATCTCGTAAAACATAAGGAAAATCGTACGACATCACGTATGTGCGCATTCTGTTCCGCTCGCCGCGTCCTGAGTCCTTTACGATATACAAGAGGACCTCGGAGAACGGACCGTGGATTCCGTACCAGTACTACAGTGCCACCTGTCGCGACACCTATTCCCTACCCGATTCGAGGGCCATTCGGAAGGGCGAGGGCGAGGCGCATGCCCTGTGCACCAGCGAGTACAGTGACATCTCGCCGTTGAGGGACGGCGAGATCGCCTTCTCCACGCTGGAGGGTCGTCCCAGTGGCATCAACTTTGAGCGAAGTGCCGAGCTGCAGGACTGGGTCACGGCCACGGACATTCGCATCACCTTGGACCGTCTGAACACCTTCGGCGACGAGGTCTTCGGGGATCCCCAGGTGCTGAAGTCGTACTTCTATGCCATCAGTGACATTGCCGTGGGAGCCCGATGCAAGTGCAATGGACATGCCAGCAAGTGTGTTCCCAGCACGGGCATGCACGGCGAGAGGACCCTGGTCTGCGAGTGTCGCCACAACACCGACGGACCCGACTGCGACCGCTGCCTGCCGCTCTACAACGATCTGAAGTGGAAGAGGTCAACCTCAACGGAGGTCAACGAGTGCAAAGGTAAGTTACTTGC